ATGATGCTGGGAAGGAAGGTAGAGTGTTGGCTGACATGATGCTGGGAAGGAAGGTAGAGTGTTGGCTGACATGATGCTGAGAAGGAAGGTAGAGTGCTGGCTGACATGATGCTGGGAAGGAAGGTAGATGTTTTATGTATCCAAGAGACCAAGTGGAAGGGCAGCACTAAAGCAGGGTTTAAACTGTTTTACCATGATGTGGATAGAAGAGAAAACCTATGCATGCACAGAGAGAACATGCAAACTCTACCCAGACAGATCCCCAGCCAGGATTTGATCCTACAACTTTCTCGATGACAGGCAACATCTCTACCCACTGAGGCACTGTGCTGTCCTCATTGTATCCTATAGGCACTTAAATAAATCTTACTCATTCAAAAACCATAAATGGTACAAGATCCAACATCGTAGCAATTACTCTAACAATTAGAAATTTGTATGTATGTATTTGTAATAAAACAGCAAAAACGGACAAAGGAGGAACAAACAGGATCTAATATTTTGCACTTCATGCGCACTAATAATAAAATGTTTAACCTTCACTCAGAGCTCCTCTATGGAATCAGGTCTACTAGAGAATGTAACATGAGTTTTTTGACCGTAGGTCAGTGGAAGTAAAAGATATTAGTTTTTGTTTCTCACGAGTTTTTGGTTCGGTAATTTGTTGACGGTCCCTAAGCGAAGTGAACCACCATGACTCAGAGGAGGGACAGACTGAGTGCAGCTGACCGAACTCAGACTGCAGATTGAATGAGAGGAAGACACCACTGAATCCGTGGAGCAACTACTTTTACAGCTGTAGCACACACTGGATACCTTTCAAAACAAAACTGCATGAACTTCAAAATAAGGGTGTAGTGTCTGTTCCATTGTTGCTGCTGTCTGCGAGGTAACGCAAGATAAAAAACATAAAAAGTCCCCAATGTCCCCTCCCGGGCTTCCATACTCCTCAGTTAGCTGAGTGTGAGGGGAAAATAACTTTGGATGCAGGAAATGGCCTTCCGTAATACACGCTGATGCTCATATTATATGACACAACTGCTTGCCGTACTGTACCTCTCATTTCCCTCTGAGCAGGAAACCCGCACAGCTGATCTGAACCAAACAAGTCTTTAAAGTTCTGAATCCACGGCTCGTGACTCGTTTGAGCTGAAGGGTTTAAAAAGTTTCTTCTGCTGATGTCAACAAAGTGTGGTTAAAGAAAACGAGCGCCTGGCGTCAGCCGGACTGACGGATTCACCGTGAATTAAGAGTTTAAAGTCAGAGAAACAGGAAGGATTGATCATGAGTTTCAAAATAAAGCTCATAGATACTCTTCAAAATAAGAGTCTGGCTCTGTCGTTACTGAAGGAAGTTCTGATGAATGCCGAACGACACCGGTACCATTCCTGCAGACGTCTTTGTTTTTACCGTGACGTTTCTGGGATGGAGCAGTTCTGTTCTCCAGGTCATTTTGCAACATGGCCGCCATCAGCGTCCTTCCTCTTCCTGTCAAGGTCGCTGCTGCCATCTATAAACGGAGCTGGGGGTCAAAGGTCGACCCGCTCTCCTCTCCTGCTGATTAAACAGTCTTTCCGCCTCTCGCTGCTAAATTTAAATCGGCGCGACCCGGTGGTTCTGATGCCCGTTCGTCTCTGGAGGACAGCGAGGTCGTTCCTGAAGAACCTCGTTCTCCTGAACGCCTCGTCCCGTTTCTCCTCTGGAGGTCATGAAATGTGTGCTGGGAGCTAATATTTCATCTTTTATTTGGGTTTGGAGAGAGAAGCAGAAACGAGGTTGGTGCCGTCTCATATCTTCTAAAGGAGGTTGGACTCTTTATTTAAAGTCCTACAATGTGGGACGTCCTCTGTCCTTCAGGACTTTTTGTCCCGTCAGTTTGAGACGGTGAGGAACTGCAGAGACGGGCCTCCAGCAGGAGATCTGTAAACACCGGGAGGTGAAACCAGCAGAGGAGGTGGTTTTCCTGGAGGAACCTTTAAACGTCAGGAGCATAATGCACCACAGATGCATTGTGGGAAATAGAAGTGTCCGATGTCTGAGCAGGATGAAGATGAACAAAACAAATCGACAACTTTTTCATGTTCTTCACCAACAAAAACAACAACCTGCTGTGAACTCTCGTCAGGAAACGGATCTCTAAAGTCTTTCGGGTCTCGGTTTCTGCAGAACCCACATGTTTTTCCAGAAGACCGATGTTCTGGTTCCGCTGTAAACTCTGGACCTGCGCTCGTTTTGATCTGGTGTTTTGAAAAAAGACGTCATTGTTCGTACGGGTTGAGAGCTCGTTCAGCTAAAATCGTCTAAACCCGGTTCAGTCGAGCGAACTGGCTTTAACCAACACCAAAATGGCTAAAATTCAGCCACATTTACAGATTATCAGCTAAATGTGTTGTGGTGGTAGCTGAGGGTCATCCCCAACACGTACTCTGAGTGTCAGGGAATCAGAAGATGTCTGACGGGTGTTCAGCGTGACGGGCGATGTGCATTTCTTCATCTTCACGCTCCTTTTCTAAACTGGTTTTTAACTCCATTATGAGCCGATCTGAACTTTTTATCAACCAGAGATTCAAACTGAAAGAATCAAAACTGGTTTCAGGACCGCCTTGACTCTCCTGGTCCAAACCCAACAAACCTGATTACCAGAACCGTCCAGCCTCTGCAGCCGTCGCTGCAAAGTCCCATGGAAAGATTTGATGCCCCTCCTGACTCACACCTGCGGCCTCAGGATTATGGGACCGCAGTACTGATCACTGAACCATCACGTTCAGATTACCAGAACTATGTAATCCAATTTATAGTACCGGAGTCAAATATTCTACATTAAAGCTCGATGTAAACAAGAATCCCGTTGTTGGAGTCCGATTCATTGAGTCAGTTTATCCCAGTTCAGTCAGATCCTGGAGAGCTCACAGCTGCATGTCACCCACCACAGTG